GCAGGGCCTGCTGCCAGGCCTCCGCTCTGGCTCGACGTGTGTGTTACCTGTCCTCTAAAAACGCCCCTGTGGCGCTGGTACCGCCGTGCCCGGCGCTCCGACGACGTGGGCTTTTGTTGTTGAAGGTGTTTCTATCCCCTGTGGTGCTGCAGGTTTTGGCTTGTGATCAAGGAAGATGGGCACATGGTTACAGCTCGCCAGGAGCCGCGACTGGTCCTCATTTCTGTAGGCAGTGAAAACGGGCACTTGACCTTGGAGGCCCCAGAAATGAAGAAGCTGTCTGTGCCTGTAAAGCTCCCCAGGAAAAATCCCGTGTACAACTGCAGGTACTAAAGAAGAATTTTGGGGTTTTCCCTCTCTTCCCTCTAAATGTTGTCTCTCATGTGCTTTTCAGGACTCTGTGGTGGTTTGTGTTTTCATGTGCAGGAATTGGAGGGTGAAGGTTGGGTGCTTGTGCTTCTTTTCAGTGGTGGTCTGTCGACCTGTCTGCATAACAAGGAGAAATGTCAAACCGGTGCCTGTACTGACAGGACAAGGGACAATAGTTTTAAACTCAGAGTCATAAGTAAGAAATTTTGTACAATGAGGGTAGTGAGACATTAGAACAGGTTGCCCGGCGAGGTTCTGGATGCCCCGTCACTGGCCAGGTTGGATGGGGCTCTGAGCAACCTAATCGAGTGGAAGATGCCCCTCCCCGAGGCAGAAGGGTTGGCCTAGGTGATCTTTAAAGGTCTCTTCCAATCGAGACTGTTTTGTGATTATGTTAAATTCTCTGCCGTGTGTTGTACACAAGGTTAGGGTTGATTGCCTTAACAAAAGCTCTAATTTTAATCTGCTAAACACTGGTGAAAACAAATTGGGAAAAGAAGACACAATATTCAAATACCATTCATCTTACATCTGCCAAATGAACTGTGATCTTCAGTCCTCAAAGGATGTCATGTTTACTGGTTCGTGTTTACTTCTAGTGTTTTTGGTTTTGCTTGGGTGAGCGCTTGCTTCTGAGAGCCTCAGTCATGCGTTAGTAGTACTTCTTTGTCACCACTAATATATGCATCAGCATTTTTGGATATGCACTGGCCATGTGGAACTGGTGAGGTGCCAGAGTTCAAATTTCCTCATCCCTATCTGTAGGCATTTCCTCATCCCTGTCTGTAGGCCAATATTAAAAATTTAGTTGCTGGACGCATTCTAGTCACAGGGGAAGGACGGTCATCCCCGGAGAGTAAGTTGCTCACTGAAGTTGCTACCTCAAAGATGTTTCAGGTGAATGAGCTACAAACATAGCCGTGTAACTGTATGCCTAGAGTTTTGCTGTATGAATGCAGGCTTGGTTATTTCATCCATACATTGAAATCCACGCTGGAAAATGCCAAGGGGCAGCAGAAAACCTTTCTGCTAAAATGTCAATTAATCTATTAAGACTATTTAATAATTAGAAATAGTGTTAACCCCTACAAAGATATGAATAAGTGTGTTTTTTCCCTTTGGATAGCAGAGTTGGTTAATCTACCAGCTGCTATAATTAAACTAAGAGTGCTGGAAAGACACTGCATTCTCTAGCCTCTGTTGCTGTGGAAACCCTTGATCAGCATAGCTCAGCATCTCTGTTTATACAAGGCAGGTGCAAGTTACAGATGATAGTGTTTTTCCTGGAAAAATAGGACAGTCTTTTAAAAATCTGTATATAATGCCTGTACATTAGCCATTTACACTTACACTACAAAACCATGCAGTTTCAAGGTGTTATTTTTTCTGAAATTTGTTGTGCCTTTAGAAAAAAAAATAAATAGACTAAATGAAAAATTATCTTGAGTGTTGCAACTTTAGAACTTGGTTATTTGTTCTCTTCTTCTGTCTTCACCTTAATAAACAGTTGCATGCTCTGACTTTTAGATTGCTAGAATTTGGGAATGCAAATAAGCAGAAGTTAGATGCATGTAAATGGACTTTAAAAATTACCAAGTTGTCTAGTGTTGTAGGTGGTGTCACAGAATGTGAAATTAGCAATACCCAGAGTTTAACATTGCCCTGTACTGCTCAGGAAGAATCCTAAGGTTTTGTATGACTCTACTGCACTTAAACAATTTGCCAGTTACCAGCTGGGTCTTTCTGATCCATTCAGCCATTCTTAAGAATGAGGTTTGGTAATAGCACTATATTCACAGAAATGAAGATTTGGCTTGCGTTCCTAGATTCTTCCCTTCCAGCTTGTGAGTGGGAGTTGCCATCTTACCGCACAGTACGCTCTGCCAGCAGGGCCCTCTGCGCAGACTGGTATTTATTCCGCCTTTGGGTGAGCATGAAGCCTTCAGCTCGGTGCTGGCTCTTGCCTGATAGTTGGAGCTGAGGCGATGCCGTAGTGTGTCTGGCTGCAAAAGGCTGCACGGATGCTTGTATGTAAAACTGCTGAGTCCAGTTGTGGATTTTATGTGGCTATTTAAAACTCCTGTGTTTGGGGCAGTCAAATGCAGGGCTGAAGCCCGTGCGTAGGCACAGTTTCTGTTTGTGCAAATATCAGAGGGTGTTTATAGCCCTCTGGTTAAGAAGCCTCATGTTCTTTCTTTGTGCCCTTTGCGTGTTGCAATAGTTAAATTGTGTGATCTGTTCCCATGGATCACTGTACTACCAAGTGCTCAGTATACATCTGCTTCATGGGTGGAAAATAGTAGTGTTGGAAGCTGTGAGACCCTCACCTCTGTTGTCCTGCCAGCGAGAAGGCACTCGGGGACTGAGAGCGTCGATGGAAGAGAAAAGCAGTTGAATACTGTCTGGGGCAGTGGTATTTAATCCCAACTTGTGCCGCAGAGTTGATAGTAGAGGGATCCCAGCAGATAGAGCAAGGGTATTGCTGCCAGCACTGTAATGATTCATCTCTTTCCCAGCTGAGTAAAGGAGGGCTTCCAGGAGCTGGGCTCAAGCTGGAACTGCCTGGGCATCTCTGTGCTTTAAGCTGTCCAGGCTATGATTGCAGAAGTAGAGGAAACTGCAGTATGTTTGGGTCAAAACTGCTACTTTGAAGAGAGGAGTGAAAGTATTCCTCACTGGTGTTGAAGGGTTGAGTTCATGTTTACTTTTTCTTGCCAGGAAAGTGTTCCTTGCACAAACTTATTTGTATTTTGCTGCCAGTGGCTTTTTATGCTCCATGGACTTTGCTTCCATCATAAATCTTTAACTTCTCTTAATGTAATGAGCTATTCTATATAAAGCTTCCTTAACAATCAGGGACATTTGCAACTAATAACATTTGTAAATGTCAGTTACAGTAACCAAATGCATCCTTTCAGACTCATTAATTTTCTGAAATTAAACACCTTCCAGCTGATTTCTGAGTAGTAATCTTCTTGTGCTGCAGTTGCAAATGCAAGAGTAGACTCTTTTTTGCTTGGAAGTATGGCAGTCAGTTTGTTACTGTTGCTGTTGATCTGACAGGTAGGTCTGGGCACCTGAAGGCTATTTCGTGGCTTCTTCTTTCACAAACTGATATTGTTGAGCCATGTTCATATTACTTGACCTTCAAAACAAGGTGGCCCTAAGGAGATTGTGTGCTGCAATGATCTTTGTGACAAATTCAAAAATCAATTTCCACCTCGTTATAATCCAGGCAGTTTGTTTCCTGTGTCTTGCTGCTACTATTGAAACAAGTTGTTTAACTTTTGAATAATAAGCATCCCTGAGCCTAACTTGCTGATGTGTCTTGTGATTCTTCAGGGTGTTTGGACTGGATATCCAAGGCAGGGACTGTGGAGATGAAGTGGCTCAGTGGATCACTGCTTTCCTGAATTCACAGCCCTATAGACTGGTGCACTTTGAGCCCTCCATGGTGCCAAGGAAGTCAAAGGACATAATGAACCTTTTCCGAACCACAGATGAGGTAAATGAATGTTCTTTTTCTCAGAAGTACTTTCTTTTAACCATTTCCCACCTACCACTGAAACCTGTAGTTGCCGTCATTGGTGATTGAGTTCAGTTTAGCAAGGTGTGTAGTCATGGACTTAAATCACATGAATATTCTCCTTTTCTGCAATGAGATGACTTGCTTAAATTTTGCTTTAAATCTGTTCTAAGCTATTGACCATTCACAGCTGAAGAGTCCAATACTGGTATTTGAAGAGAAGCTGTTACATTGCAGAATAGCATTCCTTTTTGTTCCTCAGTGAGTAGAAAAGAGTTATAATTTTAAAGATGTTTTGGTGGTGTAATATTTGTTGCATAGAAAACCTCTGCTCCCTATCCCTTGTTAAGTCTGGGGATGTACTGTGATGAGCTGTGTTACCTTGTATTTTGTTTAAAGAAATGATGCTTAACCCAGGGCTCTGTAGGTGTGGGCCTAGGAGTTAAAATCCAAAGAAGGTTACAGAGGTTTCATCTCTTTTTCTGTGGGAAGAGGCTTGAAGGTGGGTTGTTTGAGGAAGTTATTGCAGGTAGGGGAACATGCTGTGCTCAGAGGTTCTTGTATAACTGGAGCCACTGATGCCCTTCTTTTTGTCTGAACAGCTCTCTCATGTGAAGATGTTTTGAACTGTACCTGCTAAGTGTAGATTTTTTAAGCAAAAGCAAATTGTGAGAACCTTACCTTACTGATGTGATGTTTTGTTTGTCACTGCACAAATAGAAGGAGATATAGTCAGTTATGGACTTCCGTAGATATGCATTTATTACGTAAGGACACTAAGACCAGTACAGAAGAACAGGTTTTGGCAAAAGGGACGTCAGATTAGGAGGGGTAACATTCAGGAATCCTAGCAGGGGTTTTCATAGGGTTATTTTACCACTTGTCTTCTTGTGGTTCTAAAGGCATGTACAAGGAGGGTAAAGTATAATATAAGAGAAAGAGAGGAGGAGGGCTACACACTAATTCTTGCCAAAACTTCCTATTTTTTATCCCCCTGTGGAACGAGCATATATAGGAGGTTTCTTTTAATACTGTTCATTGGCCTTGTTTGCTGAAATGGCAGCCCTCCAATTTTCAAGCAAACTTAGACTAACAAATGGACAATTGCAACTTAGTTTTACTGTTCTGTGTGTGAAACTCCCTCTGGTGTTGTGATAAGATAGATACATTACATAGAAAAGCCCAAGTAGTTCAACTTTGTTATTGAGCCAAGGAAGTTCAGCAAGTCCATAAATGTAGTAAGTGCCTTTCATAACTTAACATAACATGTTTTACTGATACACTTATTTCTGTCTGTAATGCCTAGAATAAATGTCTAGGAGATGTGTACAGTATTATTTTGTAAGAAGGTGTGGTAGCTTCCATAATTTTGGTTTAATTCTATAAGTAGAAGTTTAAATTTACAATTTGAGCAAATGAAACTTGCTGTCGTTAGTGAAATAGGACAGGGTGTGCTATTTTACCTGGTAACCTGCTTCCAGGAAAATGAAAACCTGAATGCAGCAGACTAACAGTCAGGCTAATACTGGCTGCCGGTTCCGATATGTCTGTCCTGTGACTATTCAGTAACTTTCCTCCCATGCTCTTAGAACAGCCTTAGGATTTGTTTGTGTTTATTTCTGTAGGTTGCCTATCCTGACTGTTGCCCAGTCTTGATGATCTCAGAAGCTTCACTGGAAGATTTAAATACCAGGATGGAGAAGAAAGTTAAAATACAAAACTTCAGGCCGAATATTTTTGTAACAGATTGCAGTGCTTTTGAGGAGGTAAAATAACTGTCTTTTAATATATTTGTGAAGGCTTGGTTATGTTTCTTTGTCACTGAGTTTCCTTGTGTGGTGGTGCCCTCAAGGATGAGGAAAGCTGGTACTCCCTGATTTTTACAACTGGATTCCCAAGGGGTACAGCTTCTGCTCACATCAGCACATGTGAAACATTGAGGGAGGTGACAGGTCTGTGACTGCTGATTTAGCTTAGCAAAGGATAAAATAAGTGTATTTAAATGACAAGCTTGCTGCTGAAAGCTCATCTTTAAGTATAAAGTAGGGAAGGCTGTGCGTGCTATAATTGATCAATTAATGATACAGATGAGCAATTTGTAAATTGACAGTGCAGTGTTTTATAGCCTTTGGCACAAGGGTAAAACTGCCCCATACAGTACTACAGTCTGTCACTGTGTCTCATGACAATATTCTGGTAGTTCAAAAAATACTGTCTAAGAAGGTATATGGTGATGAAGTGAACATGGCAATTTTCACATATTCTTCTGTCATGTTGCTGTTTTTCCAGAGAATTTACTCTGGATCTGATAATTTCCCAAATGTAAAAAGTTCCTAAAGTGGAAATGTATTTTGTCTTCTGAGAGAGATTGCCATAGGAAGCTTGTGTAGACAAGAAGTAAAAACTTCCACTAAAAATTACTTTCTGCAAAAATGGTGACTTAGCAGATGTCACACATCAGATTATCACACACGTACAGTAAGAATAAGCTTGCTTTAGGTTCAGACAAGTGCAGGCTGCAGAATGAGATTTATTACTTGTGTATCTTTCTTTCCAGATGTAATGACTAGTGGGTCTTGAATTGGATGAATGAAGTGACTTTAGGGTTTTCATTAAAATTTTACCATACTATAACTGTACTTATTTTGAAGGTACAAGTGAAGATGATCATCTCAAATGGTACTGCTGCTTCTAGGGGTGACTGTGCCACTCCTGGAAAAATGGTTGTGTGTGGACATGTCTAATCTGTGCATAATGTTTACCTTCTCTCAGGACACCTGGGAGGACATTCTTATTGGCGATGCGGAGATGAAAGGGACGGTGTGCTGTGCCAGGTAAACATTTGAGACCATTGTTTTATACAGATGTATAGACATTTATGCTAAGAAGCCATTAGTGATTTGGCGCTGTCTGTTATTGCAGGTGTATTTTAACAACTGTCGACCCAGACACTGGGGTCCTGGACAGGAAGGAGCCCCTGGAAACGTTGAAAAGGTTGTAAAAATACCAGTGCTTCTCAGGCTGTGGGGGTGGATTCAGGCTAGATCCCAACAGATGTTAGACTAGTGTTTTAGGAGTAGTTTGAAGCGTGTGTGTGTGATATAAAAATGCAGCGAAAAGGTCTTTGTATATTGGCTTCCATTCTCCTTTCTGCAATTCTCTATGGTAAGAAAATACAGAAAGTTCTCTGTTCTTTCTTGCACACTTTGCATTCCCTGTCTCTTTCCACTCTACTGGGGTGAATGTCTGGGATAACAGGTATTGAAGGTGTTTAAAGGTCTAACTTTGCAACTTTGGCATTTCCTTCTATAGAGTATTTTTTATGTGTGTTGTATGTGGATGTGTGTATACAGTCAGGCTTTTCTTCTCAGTTTAAACTGCTTGTTTCTCTTAATTGCAATATTTTATCTAGTTTCTAGTCTAGTATGGTGACAAAAACAAGGCGTCACTATTTGTATGTCCTCTCTCTCTCATCAGTGATGCTTTGATGTTTAGAATTTGCTACCACTGATTCTAAAGAAGTGCTCTCTCTTTGCAGTTACCGCTTGTGCGATCCGTCTGAACGACACATATACAAATCCAGCCCTCTGTTTGGGAGATACTTTGCCATTGACAAAACCGGAACGATTCAAGTTGGAGACCCTGTGTACAAGATGGTCGAGTAACGAGAGAGGCTTTGATGCCTTTCCACTTTGATATGCCAATTGTTTTCCCAGCAGCATAACTTTTTTTTTTTTTTTTTAATTCCTTCAGTATTTTTTCTTGTATGTTCCCTGGTAAGGTGCAGGAAAGTCTTTGAGGCTATGAAGTCACAGTCATTTCAGAACATGTCTTCTAGTACCATGACTGTAGCAACCACTTCTTCAGATTTTTTGGAGGCTGTGACAGAAGAAACTCTAATCCAAGGCAGATTTCGCAGCACTGCTATGAGGATTGCACCTCCTAAAATTCTATGTCAGGCTCGTTGTCAGAATTTGGAATCGTGTACAAGGGATTTGCATTGTGTGTTAGCTACATTCAGTGCCTATAAACCACACAAAACAATTGTGCCGATTGTAAAGTAAATATGCTGGTCACAGAGCTGCCTTTACAAGTGAACATGAAGTGCAGATGGCAAGGCTTGGTTTTAGGTTCCACCTTTCTTTAGTTCTAATCACCTTACCCTGTCCATGTCTGGAGGTACTTCGGGGTTTTTTTCTTTTTTTTTTTTACACTATTTCTTAGCCTGCAGTCACTTGGTGAAGATTGCTGCTGTCTTTCAAGGTTAGAACAGTATCAAAAGGAGAAAGATTGTGAGCTGACTAAATGCTGCTTTAGTTTAGAGATGGGAACCCTGGCTAAGGCTATGTAAGACTGTGAGCTTGATAGAATTTGAACCACCAGTTTTCTCTCCTGTGAAGAAACCTGGTGTAATACTGAGGCTGTAGTTCCAGTTTGGCTAAAGTTAGGTGTTCACTGGATTAGAGACTTTATGCATACTAGAGGGGAGACTAGCTCTTGAGAATTATTTGTTTTCGAGTCTGACCCATGCAAGCTGACGTCCCAGCCAATATTGCAGGGCTCTCTGTTCGTGCATAGTTCCTCTCTGGCTCAGTGAATCTCTTGCTATGGAAAGTTAGGCTGCTAAACAGATATTTGGGAAGCTGCAGTTTTAAACTGAGCATGTTAACATCCTTACTGGTCATGCATTTAGATCTTGGGTTGCTCCCCACCCATGCCCCTATTCTAACCAAAACACCAACCACTTGTAGGAAGCAGATAAATTATATTTTATGCTATATTTTATACTGCATAAAACAGATGGGAGAGGAAACTAGATGGATTATGGCAGTAGTATATTTTCTTTATAAATGTTACTTTTTTCTTTCTTTTTTTTTCATTTTTTGAACAATTCCAGAACAAAAGCTAACCGTCTTTCACACGCTTTTCTGCCTGTTGCCTTGTTATGGATTACTAGATGTAGAAAGAGTAGAAAGAGGGTTGAAATAGCCAGAAAGAGGAACCTAATTAAGTGTGAAGGATAAATACTACCCAATTTGGTGGTTAGACTCATTATTTTCTGTTGTGAATATGAAACTGGAATTTTGCTCCATGTCCGCTACTTGAACCTCTAAAATGAAGAGACATCATGCCTTTGAGCTAATTCAACCACATGTACATAGCAAGCCTGAAGCAGGCATGTGGGCAAGGTAGTTTTATATTATTTGTGAACTCAAGAGTTGCTCCGAATATCCTTGTGTTAACAGAGTGCACTGTAAGTATTAAGTTTTTCTGCAACAGAGAAGTACCCAGTTGGGACTGCATGTTGCATATTGTTATGCCCGATGCAGCAACCAGTGGGAGGAAGCCAGAGAAGAAGCATCATTTGAAAATGAAAATAATCCTGTGGTTCACTTTTTTAAAAGAATATGTTGAAGATCCGTAATACTAGAGGCTGAAACCTTATGGAATTCCTAATGATATTTTTAAGCAAAGACAGCCTGCTGGCCTGCCAGAGCAATTAGTTTGTCTCTTCATTAAGTCAAAAGAGCGGAAGGAAAGAGAGCTGAATTCTAGCCCCTAGCCAAACATCTTTTTTCACTGTTATTTTAGCACCACATTAGGATTTACGTAACACAAATTGTGTGGTATAGATCATGTTGCTTCTTGTTAGGCTATCGTCAGTCGGGCTAATTTGGAAATATGGGACTGTCTTTCCAATGAGAAACTGCATCTGCATTCCTGTTAAGAAAATGCCATAGATCTAAAACTCCAATGCATCCCTGTAAAAGCTCCATGGAAGAATTTGGCTAGGATCCTAAATCAGTTACATGTCTGAGTACAACAGATTTCACAAATGACACTTAAATCAATTATGTGATGAAAGAGGGCCATCCCAGGAAGTGGAGAGCGTTAGTAATGAACATTGTAGTATAAATATCTTCATATAAATGTTGAACTGCTGTAACTGTAGGAATCATATTTGATTTTGCTAAAGCCATTTATGGAAATGACTGAAAACATGTTAATCCTAAACCACTTTTTAGAATTTCTGTACTTAAAAAATGTTAATTGCTGTCTTAACTTGAGAGGAAGAAAACTTCTGTTGAATCCAAACTTATTGTAAGGTGTAAAATTTGTGAATCTTTTTTGTTTGCTTGTTTGTTTTCTGTTTTGACATTTAACTTCTGCGATTCTTTCGAGGACCTCATCTGTAATTAACAGTGATGATTATTTTTTTAAAATCTTGCATCTAAATTCAGGAAAATATGCAATTAACCAGAGAAAACCAGATGTGTAAGAGAGCAGAATCATCAGATGTAAGTTGTCTTCAGATTCAGTTTTGCAACCCTTACAGTCTAGATGATGAAAGAGATGTTTACAGACTATCTTCTTGTTTCCATAGACATAAGAAAATAGTGGGAAATGGATCTGAAAATAGGAAAGTTTAGTGCACTCAAGCCAAAATGTGTTTTACAGCACTTAGTGCACTAACGCATTTCTTGCAGCAGATTGTATGAGAGAGGGACAGTCCCTGCAGGCAGAAGTTTTTTCTAGTTGCTCCAGATTTGAGGTGGGTCCATCTTCAGCCAAAACTGACACTCCCCCCCACCCCCCCTCCAAAAAAAGGATAAAAATCCATACTTCTGCGTCTTAAGGAGAAAAAAGTTTTCAAAAGCATTGCTCCACTTCTTCATAAGATGAAGACATTTCTGACCCTTGCCACTCCAAATGGCAAAAATTTCCAAAAGGGCTGCTGCAAGGTGTTTCATTTCTGGTCTACTCTAGCACCTTAAATTGCCTTATTCTCACTTGAGATCCATAAGAAATTCCCTATATTGGGCAGCTGCAGGGCTGAGGACTACACTTGCAAAGTCTTTGGGTTTTTTTGGACAGAAGGTTCTTAAGAATAATTGAGGCATCTGACCCACATGTGGTTTTGTCTTTTCTTCAGCTGTAAGAGAGGCAGCATTCATGTCTCACAAAGGTTCCTATTCTTTTGTATTATACATAGCTATTATGTTAATGTCAACAGTCTCTACCTAGAATATCACTAGTTACTGGTTTTGTGTTTTAACCAGAGGCATTGGTGAAGTTGGTAAGGGTTTCAGACACTAGGCCTCTTCTGAAACAAATCTTAACATGACAGGATTTTGATTCTGGAGCCAGAATCTTTACTTGTATTGACTTTGCTGGTGTGGGACAAGGGTTGTTGCCTGGAGAAGTACTTCTGATTGTCTTTACTTCTGTTTGTTGGTGCTCATTTTTTACTACCTTGAAAAAGTGCCACGCCTGCCTTCTTAGGCAGCTGCTCCCTGGACGGTGTGTGGAAGGCACAGTGGAGAGCGGAGTGCTGGATGCTGCTGTGTGACTGCAACACGGCACTGCTCAGTGTTGATGAAGCAGAGTTTAATGCCTCTTGGCTTCGCAGCTGGTAAATGTGTGCTTGGGATTGTTACAACCAGGATGTGTGGTCAGTCAAGCCTTGAAGCCTGGCCTGAACTTAGGGGTGAAGGGGAGTATCACATGCCACAGCTGAGGCTGGCATGAAGTAATGAAGTGAAGAGAGCTAAGGAGGTGCTCATCCTCAGCGAAGGGAAGGGTGATGTCAGGGTGGCAAGATATTTTAAAGGAGGTGAGCAGCGCTCAGGCATATATCCGAAAATATATCGGAGGGTGTGTGTCAGGGCTGGGGCTGCAAGAGATGGAGCTGTGAATCAAGTCAGGGACCTGGGGGGCTGCACATTCTCGATGCATTTCTGTGCAGAGAGATGGAGAAGGAGCCTTAGTTGTGGGGTGGAATCAACTTCCAATGCTCGTCACAGCCATTTGTAGCCTGCCTTGAGGAGTGCCACACTCGCCAGTAGGCAACAGCTCCTCATGTTGACTTCAGGAAATCAAAACACAGGTAACCACAGGCTGAGTTAAACAGCTGGCAGAGGCTGCAGGAACTCACACCCTCTGGAGACTGAGCACCACAGAGGAATTTATGTCGCACGCTGAGTGGACGGTAGGCCGTAGACACCGAGAAGGCTGTCCTATGTCTTTGTGAAGAGTGGGGATGAGAACCTCCCATATTTCTGTGAGGCTAAAGCATCTCCCCTTTGCTCTTGGGCTGTTATGTACTTGGCACCTAGCTGACTGAAATCTCACTTTCCTCCAGGGTCTACATTACAGAACAGAATTGCGTCTTCTCTCCTGCACAAAATTGCTCTGACAGCTTATCACTGCTTGTTTTACCAGCTGACTGTGCTCGCTTTCTTTGGGGACTAGATAATAAGCACAGTGAAACAATTACGTGCTTCATTGATACGCTAACACTCATAACTTCTTTGCTATTGAGCTCCAAAAAACAGCTGCGTTCATTGTTAATTGAGGTTTGTCTCCCAGAGATTCTGAAGGAGGATGTTGTAGCGGGCATGATTATATGCACTGACTCACGGACAGTTATTTTTGGCAGACCCACCTATGTCGCCTTTGTGTAAGTAAAAGGTGATGACTAAATCTCTTCATATTATCAGAATTTCACCCATAGAAGTCTAGGACTGGAAGAAACCAGCCGGGTCACAGAGTGCAGTCTTTTAACTGCAGAAAACAAAGTGACAGACATTAAATACGGGCTCGGAGAATATCTGTTTCATCTGTCTCTGCAAACTGTGGGCCACAGGGCACTTCCCATCATGCT